CCGACCGCTGGAGTTCCGACTCTTCAGGCAGGCTTTTGGTAACTAAATTGGGCAGGACTGAGTCTCTTCTGGAAGCTGTTTATGGGATTCCTTGTTAAACCTTTCAAACATTTACATCTCCATTTAAAAACTGCTATTATATATTTAATTCTTTTTTTTATTTTTTGCACTTGTATTGAGTCTTCATCACTTCTGAGGTGCACTGAATGCCATCCCTGGAAGAACGAAGCAAAACAACTGAAGACTAACACGAGTTCTCAAAACAAAAGAAAATAAAATGAAAACTAAAGGTTCTTCCTATTGTTTAGAGACAATAATCACCCCAAGGAAGGAAGAAGCAACCACTTTATTAAAAAGTACCAGAACCAGAAAGCATGAACAGTAAAGTAGCAAAGGGGATAGAAAGATTGACGCTTCCACACCTTCTGCTTAACGGGAGATCCTGGAGAATGCAAGGGAGCGCGATCAGGAATCATCCGTTGCTCAGTATCTCCCCAGGATCTAGACTTATACTGGGGCTCCCTTAACAAAGGCATCAAGATCCTTATTATACCTCCAAGACATCTCAGTAATTACGTCCCCCAGTTCATTGACCATCTCTTTGTACAGACACAGTTTCTTATGTTTACATATATGCAAAATAATAACAGACCCAAAGAGCTACACATAAAGACATGCCAGAGCCATCCAGCTTTGGGCACTCTTCTCACCAGAGGGTTAACCCTGACATCTGAGACATACCTTTTGGCCATCACAGAGGTATTCTGCAATGACACAACACCGATAAGAGAAACAGACGGACGGACAGGTACAGCTTCCTTTTGCATTACACTTCCATGAATTGGAGTAAAATCTTTATACTGTACTCATTTTCCAAAGAGAAGCATACACCCCAAACCACTGACCATAATTTACACACATGGAACTAAGAAACAGGATCAGCACCAGATACATTAACAGGTTTATTTTATCCATTAGCTGATGGATAAAAAAAGAGAAAAGGGCCATAATTGAAGGATACAGACCCAAATCTTATAAGTGCAGTGGGTTAATTCACACCAGGGAATGGCTGCTAATTCATGAGTCTCACTATGTATTTCTCACTGTGCGCCAGTCGAGTGTACAACAGAAAGGTATTCACTAGCAGCAACCTGTGTCTGTGATTTGGGCCACTGTGCTTACTCTAGTGTAAACAAGCAGTAGGCTTCTGGCCATTAGGACCTGGCCTGGGAAGTCTGACTCCATTCAGGACCCTGGAGAGGGACTGCTGTGGGAAATGTCTGTTAAAGGTTGTAGCTGCAGTCTGTTCCAGTGATGTGCACACACTCCTGGCAGAAAGCAGCAGCTGCCGGCAGCCGGAGTAACCCCTTATCCTGCCCTTTCGCTTAGAGGTAGAGCATAAGATCAAAGAGTTACGATTAGGTAACTGGTATCCTTTCTGAATTCTAACAAAATATGTAATCATGCTAAGTAAATAAAAGAGCTCTCAGGGCATTGCCTGTAGGCTCCACTGGTTGGGACATCCATGCTGTCGACTCCTTTGTTCTAAGGCAATTAGCCTTCTTTTGTTCGAAAAATTTTGTTTGAAATTATGGAGCCTTATCATCCATATCTACCTTTATGGGAGAGGCTCACTCTAAGTTTTTCTGAATTGCTTTCTTGATTGAATATCAAACCCACCTCTTTGATCTCCCTTATGACTGACCATTGGCAACAAGGAGAAGTGTGTTCCCCATCTCCACACCTGGAACCACGCAAAGAATTCATAAGGTTACAAAGCTATTCCTCCACTTATAGAGATAAAACCTGTGTTGCCTTATCCTCCATCTTTCCAAGTCTTCAGGGATTCCCCATTATCACAACAGATCACCTTCTAGGGGGAAAAATAGCACCATCCTTAGAGCTGAGCGACATGACATGACTCCTTTGCACTGGTCACTAATAATTCTCTTGGTCTCTTCATCATATATGCTGAAAAGTTGCATTCAGAGTTCTGACCCTACTTCTGCCACCTTTTACTTTGGCTTTACAATTGTCCTTAACAATTTTAACCGTTTCTTCAATCACTCACCTAGGCTTTTCTTTTAACAGCAGGAATCGTCTTCTTTGCATTTTTCCCTTATAATATTTCTGGTTTCAAACCATCCTTCCTGAGATACAGGAAGCTGGACTAGATGAGCCCTTGGCTTGATCCAGTAGGACTCTTCTTATGTTCTTTTGAGTAATGGTCCCTTGAATTTAGCAATGCAAATCTGTTCTTTATTAATACTGTACATGAGAAATTTTATTCAAGTTATATTTTGGCCCTAGGATTCTTTTAATGTTCATTTTCAGCTTTACTCTACGTTTTGAAATCAACAAATCATGTTCAGTAGCAGAGTCTACTCCTGGTCTTGTTCTGGTTCAGAAAACAGTGTTTTCATCTGTTATTTCTAGTTACGCAATCTACTTGATTGGTATACTGTATTGGCCATCAGTCATTCTCCTGTTTTGTTTCTACCTCATAGTCCAAGCTCTCCAGCAATGGTTGGTTCTGCTTTGTCTCCTTCTGTGTTCCAGTCATTTATGATTATGGTTTTATTTACCAAATAAACTCTTTTTCATTCTTTAAAATCAAGGACTGTTTTCTACCCAAAGGTCTTCCCAACTCGAGACACTGCTCTGATACTCAGGATTTCACCTATTTCTTTCATGTGACACCTAGCACATATTAAAGGCTTTCCCCCCTCCCCAGTATGAGTTGCTCGATACTCTTAAAGATACTCTTAAACAGTATTTTTATCTGAAAAACATTTGCCAACTCTAATGGTTTATAGGGTTTCTTTCCAGTATGAATAGTTTTAGGATCGAGCTTTTTCCTATATTTAGAGTACCTTCTAATGGTTTATAGGGTTTCTTTCCAGTACGAATACGTAGTTTTAGGATTGAGCTTTTTCCTACGTGTATTTAGAGTACCCGAAAATCTTTTCCCCTTGTTGGGACTGTTGGGTATTTTATTTAAAAAGGATAATTTAAGTGTGAAAGTCTTTCTACATTCTGAGCATTTTCAGACCTTTTTCCATGTGTGGACTCTCTGATGTCTGTTAAGGCCAGAGATCATTCTGAAGCCCCTTCCACACTCTGAGCACTTATAGGGCTTCTCCCCAGTATGAATTCTTTGATGGTTTTCCAGACTTGATTTCCAAGTGAAGCTGTAGCCACAGATGGGGCATTGATAAGGTTTCTGCCCTGTGTGGACTCTTTGATGGTAGCAAAAGTACGACCGGTCTCTGAAGCTCCTGCCACACTCTGAGCATTTGTAGGGCTTCTCTCCTGTGTGGATCATCTGATGTTGCGTCAGCGTTGAGCTCCGGCTGAAACTCCGTCCACACTCGGAGCACTGATAAGGCTTCTCCCCTGTGTGAGTTCTTTGGTGCGTCCTAAGATTTGAGCTCCGTCTGAAGCTCCTCCCACACTCCAAGCATTCGAAGGGCTTCTCCCCTGTGTCAGTTATTGGATGCTGTCTAAGGGTGAAGTTCTGTGTGAAAATCCCAGTGGATGCTGAGTGATCATAGGGTTTCTCCTCTCCGTGGAGATGTTGATGTCTTTCGAGACATAATCGCCCACTGAAGCTTTTTCCACAGTCTGAGCCTTTGAAGGGCATCTCCCCTGTGTCAAGTCTTTGGTGGAGATTAAAGAGTGACCTCTCTCTGAAGCTCCTTCTGTACTCTGAGCATTTGTAGGGCTTCTCCCCTAAGAGGAGTCTTTGGTGGATTTTAAGGTATGACCTCTCACCGAACCTCTTTCTACGCACGGAGCATCTGTAAGACCTCATTCCTGTGTGAATGCGTTGATGTCTTCTAAGGGCCAATTCAAATGTGAAAGTCTTTCCACATGGACAGCATTTGAAGGGTTTCTCTCCTGTGTGGATTCTTTGATGGTATTTCAGAGATAATTTCCAAGTGAATGCTTTTCCACATGCGGAACATTTATAAGGGTTCCTCTCTGTGTGGATTCTTTGATGCACTTTAAGGTACAATTTTGAAGTGAATCTCCTCCCACACTCTGAGGATTTGAACCGCTGCTCCTCTACGGGATTATGTTGATGGATTTTCAGGCCTGAACGCTGACAGGGCTTCTCTCCGGGATGGTGGACTCTTTGGTGGTCTTCCAAGCTTGTGCTCTGACTGAAGTTCTCCCCACACTCTGAGCATTGATAGGGCTTCTCTCCGGTGTGACTTTTCTCATGGCGCTTCAGGGATTCTTTCCAAGCATAGCTCTTCCCACACTCTGAACACCAATAGGGCTTCTCCGCAGTGTGGATTCTTTGGTGGTTGCTAAGCTGGGATCTGCAGCTGAAGCTCTTCCCACACACTGAGCACTTGTAGGGCTTCTCCCCGGTGTGACTTTTCTCGTGGCGCTTCAGGGATTCCTTCCAGATGTAGCTCTTCCCGCACTCGGAGCACCAGTAGGGCTTCTCCACCGTGTGGATTCTTTGATGATCACTGAGTTCTGAGCTGAATCTGAAGCTACTCTCGCACACCGAGCACCGATAGGGCTTCTCCTCTCTGTGAAATCTCTGGTGGTTGCCCAGTTGGGAGTTGAATCGGAACGTCTTCCCACACTCGGAGCACTTGTAGGGCTTCTCCCCTGTGTGGACTCTTTGGTGTTGGGTAAGGGTTGAGCTCCGGCCAAAACTCTTTCCACACTCTGAGCACTTGTAAGGTTTTTCCCCTGTGTGAACTCTTTGGTGCTCTTTCAGGTTGGAGTTCCGCCTGAAGCCCCTCCCACACTCGGAGCATTGATAGGGTTTCATCACTTCCTTTCCAGGGTCTAAGTCCTTATCGCTTCCTTCGTCACAGAAGTCAATTAATTTGGGCCTCTGTTCTTTTTCTCCACTTCCCCTTTCCCGCTTCTTACTCCATTTACTCCTCTCTCGCCCACCACCTGAAGCATCAGAAAGTGAAATGCAGCAAGAACAGAATTACTGTATTTTTCTGTGTATGACACACCCATGTATAGTTCTTTTTCTCCACTTCCCCTTTCCCGCTGCTTACTCCGTTTACTCCTCTCTCGCCCACCACCTGAAACATCAGAAAGTAAATAAATAAATAAATAAAGTGAAATGCAGCAAGAACAGAATTACTGTATTTTTCTGTGTATGACACACCCATGTATAAGACACCCTCCAATTTTCTAACCCAAAATTCATAAATCAATATTTTAAATATTAGAAAGGAACACATTTTATTTAATATGCAACATTTACATACCACTACTACGATATCATGCATCACACTTAGCTGAGCAAATAACTTGATTCAGCCTTGTTTGCATAACTGATGACATTCAGTTTGAATTTTGCAGAGTAAAACAGTAGCTTATTTTCTTTTTTTATTTTCTGACATCTTCATGGGCTCAGAATGCTCCAACATTACCGGTCACTGTTGATGCATCACACTTAGCTGAGCAAATAACTTAATTCAGGCTTGTTTGCATAACTGATGACATTCAGTGACATCCATGCACTGTCTACACGCTCTCCTCCACATCAGCTAACATCAGTTACATAAGGCTTGTGACTGGAGGAAGCCTGTTTGCTCCAACATTACCGGTCACTGTTGCATCCATGCACTGTCTACACGCTCTCCTCCACATCAGCTAACATCAGTTACATAAAGCTTTTGACTGGAGGAAGCCTGTTTGCAGAGACGTTATCAGCAGTTTTGCTCCTGACTGGAGGCGGACTGGTTTGCAGAGACATGTGCAGCTCCACAATCGTGTAGTTTTCTCCTTACTTCCGTGTATAAGACAAGCCTCAATTTTTAGTCTAACAATTTTAGGAAAAAGTCATGTCTTATACACAGAAAATTATGATATATCGATTAACAGATTCAATAGAATAGTCATACCATTTTAAAATGAAGATCATATCTAGCTATCAGGTTGTGACCTTAACTTGCTATACTTGGAACTAAATATGGGAATGTTTATGTGAAAGTCACACAATGTGTGAAGTCATCTATCTATCTATCTATCATCTATCTATCTATCTATCTATCTATCTATCTATCTATCTATCTATCTATCTATCTATCTATCTATCTATCTACTGCTCTTATTACTGCCATGGCACTACTCTGGGTGGTCACAACCAAGACAAAAATATAGATGAAAACAGTAAAAGCAAATTGCAGATAACTATAAAAGCAGATGGCGCAAAACCATCAGGTAAGGATTAAAGCAGACGGAAGGAAAAAGGAACAGGTGATCAGAAAAACTTGGATAATCACCCGGCAGACATGCTTTGATTGTATTCCCCTTCCAACTTCACTTTTCTATAATTCTGTGTAACTTTAAACAAGGATGCTTACAAAGAGACCCATAATTTGTTCTGGGAGTGCCTGCATCTCTTATTCCATTGTTTTTGTAAAGAGCTTTATAAAGAATGTGTGAACCTTTCTAACTGTTGAGCTGCTTGGTTTCAGCCACCGACTGCCAGCACCCTGCCTTATGAGGCTCTTTCCCCCCCTTTTATTTCTTTCTCTCCAATAAAGCTCTTGCCTTTATTTGCAATAACTTGCACATGTGGGCTGTTTTTCTCTTTTTCAAGTCCTTGCCAGAGGAACCAAAAACCTTAAAAAATAAACCCTATTTTTCCATTTACAACAGAAGTATGGGGATGCATTACAATAGCAGCCAGGTGGGCCACACCAGGACTTAACCTGCAAACTGGCAGAGTCTCATTAATGCAATATTTACACCCTCCAAAAGGCAGACAGGGTGAAAATTAGTGAATGCAAACAAAAGAGCGTCCTCCACTGAATTTATGGATTAGCTTTGTACAACGATTGTGCAATGTTCTGGATTCAATAATCCTTTGGGAATGGCACCATCAGCAATTGTTATGTTTTATATCCAAGGAATTCTTTATTTTTTTTAATTTTTTTAAATTTCTATCCCACCTATCTGGTCGGATCAGGACCACTCTAGGCGGCTGTGAACATGGTGATGTGAACATGTTTATGAACATGGTGATGTGGAAGTCTATAGATGTGACAGATCACTTTGCCTCTTCCTTGAAGAAAACAGAGGAGGCAACCAGACAAAACTGATGGCTCTTCAGATGCATGCTTGAGATAAACCAGCAAATTACTGATCTTCGAAAATGTTCAGAAATTTTCTCATGGAAATCTCTATTGCTTTTACTGGAGTTTCAAAGTGTGGTGCCCATTAATTAATTAACTAGACTAGACCAACAAGGATTTCCCCCTTCCATGTTATGGTTTTCATTCCCACTGTTATGGATTCCTTATCATTTGTTTCCATTCAAGTGCAAGTGTTACGTTCAACGTTCCCTCTACGTAGTTTTCTGGAGTGCTGCACAGAGGAAGACCGGAAGCAAATGGGCAGAAACAGTGGCTTGGCTGCAAGCACCTGATGCAGCTTGGAGGGAACGTTTGTTAGGTTGCTATGCAAGATATCCCTTTCTGGGACAATGCTATTTTACACTGACCTTGTTTTCCCTGTGACAGCTTAAATGGAGAACTGGCGGATTGTCTCGCAGGGACTTTTAGTAAACCATGCTCAAACATCATTTTTGTACATTTTCAATGTACATTTTCAAATTTTTCCCATATACATTTTCAGAATTAAGAACGTAAGAACCTAAGAAGAGCCCTGATGGATCAGGCCAAGGGCCCCTTGAGTCCAGCTTCCTGTCTCTCCCAGTGGCCCGACCAGATGCCTCTGGGAACACATGAGACAACGAGATATAATTGTCTCCTGATCCCCCTCTTCCCCTGCATCTGGCCTTTGAGGGGCACTTCCTTTGAAGCCTGGAGGTTATCCACCCCCATCATGGCTTGTCACCTGCGACGGACTTTTCCTCCAGGAATCGGTCCCATGCCCTTTTCGAGGCATCTAGATGCCAGATGCCATCACCACATCCTGTGGCAAGGGGTTCCACCGACTAACAACACGCTGCATCAGGAAATATTTTCTTTGGCCTGTTCTCACTCTCCCAACACTGCATTGGAGAGGACTTTCCTTGGTTCTGGTATTGTGTGAGCGGGAAAAGAGCTTCCCTCTCTTCACTTTACCCATCTCCTGCATAATTTTATACATCTATATAATGTCCCCCCTCAGGCACCTTTTCTCTAGACTCAAGAACCCCAAATGCTCCTCCTCAGGGAGGTGCTCCAGCACAGTCATCATTTGAGTTGCTCTCTTCTGCACCTTTTCCAGTTCCAAGACTGGGTTTCTTTTCTATATGCCCTTAATTATTTTAGTACTCTGTTCACCCAAATATTAAAATCCTGACATCGCCACTACTTCCTGCATCTGAAACTCTGGCTATGACTGGACCCAGCTGAGCAATCCAGAAGGGCACCCTGCTGAAACTGCTGTAGAAGTCCAACAGAACTGACAGCCAGCTGTGTGTGTCCACCTCCACACATTCCCTCTCTGGCTTCAGCAATCCATGGGGTGGCCACAACAAGGGGAAATTAGTCAGTATTCCTGGATTTGAGAGGTCAACTTCAAGCATCCTGGTTGAAAGCCACATGGAGGAGCAGAAAGATGGGAAGCCCTAATCTATCTATTATTCACCTGCTTTGATTAGTAATGGATGGAACTTATCAATGGCATTATTACCCAAAGCTTTAAAAGTTCGATAAGAACAGAGATAACCTTTCATAGGTAAAACCAGTGTCCTAACTCCACTCAGCTATGGACATTTCAACCTGTTCCTATTTTCACTTTTTCTCAAACGTGTCTTCCAAACTCTGTGTCGTAAAAGTTGAAAAGCATTCAGCATCCTGTTTCAGGACACAGACACACACTTTACTAGGTGAAGGATACCAAGAAAATGTGTTGAAAAAAAAACAGCCATAATTATATCCTTTCTGCTTGAGTGAGCACAGACACACACACACACACACACACACACAAGCCAAAAGCCCCCTTTGAATTTCCACACCTCACCTGGGCAGCCCCCTGCAGACATCTCTGTGTCCAATGAGTCCTGGACAAATAGATCATCTCCTTCTTCCAACATGGAGATGAGGGCAGGCTTGGGAACTGGGCAGGAGGAAACAGAGGGATTAGCAGCAACCATGGAAAGGTAGACTTCCTGCCTCATCAGCATCTTCTCTCTGTAGGTGACCACTATGGAAGATGGCTAGGCTTCCTCCCGAGAGACCCTCTAGGTTACTTTGTTGAAAATGGCCCACCCCATTCCTGGAGTTGGCAACCAGTGGTCTGGAGCAGGTAGATAGAGAGGGGCAAGCATACGAAGGTGAAGAGTGCAGGTGAAGGTCAAGAAGAAGAACAAAGAATATCCAGAATCCTGGACAAGTCCAAGAAGAGACCTGGTAAGTCCACATGGGTATTGTTCATTCAATGAGCCCTACACCTAGGGTCCATAACATTTGCTGGAGAGCAAGATGAGACCAGCAGCAAAGATCAAAATGAGGTGGTACCATGCTTCAGCAAAGAGAAGGGAATGTCTTGATGCAGATAGGAATATCTGCATAAGACCTCCATTCTCTGCATCAGCAAAATCCAGGGTCTGAAATGTAAAGTCAAAGACACTCCTCTCCACAGAAGCCTACAATGAGTTCACAGTTTATAGGATTGATTAACTGGATCAATAAGCCCCTACCAGTTGGTCTTCCACATGCAGAAGTTTAATCATAACACTTTACTAGGTGAAGGATACCAAGAAAATTTGTTGGGAAAAAAAACAGCCATAATTATATCCTTTCTGCTTGAGTGAGCAATACTTAATTTGGTTCTTGTAGGTTTTTCGGGCTGTTTGGCCATGTTCTGGAAGTTTTTCTTCCTAATGTTTTGCCAGTCTCTGTGGCTGGCATCTTCAGACGACAGGAGCTAGAACTCTGTCCATGTTCTGGTGTAGTGTGTGGGATAGTTGAGTGTAGCTGTGGGATCAGCTTTTTTGTCCTTTTCAGGAGCTTCGGTGATTATGGTGATCAGGTTTTTCTGTTATAGATGTATTGTGAGATGTGCTGTGATTAATGACATAGAAAAAAAAGAAGAAGTCCGATTCTGAGTTTTTCCCTGGCTTGGTGACTTTTTCCAAATGGTAATGAGCATAAGAAGGAATCCGATAGACCGTCTTGATTCCTGACACTAGTGTCATCAACATTCAGCTGGACTTTAATGTGCTTGATATTCTCTTTCCTGCTAGCAATGCAGACATGAAATTGCAGGACAATGTTAGGCTAGTTCCTGAGGCTTTTAATCATGGATACTGAACCATGATATCCCACATTCATGAATCAGAGTGTTTTGGTGGGATTGAATTTTATAAAAATGACATAGCACTGCATTGATTCAGCAGCCTTTTGAGCCTAGTACAATGTGCTATTATATACCTTTTGAAATTCACTAGAATTGTCAGTTTCACTTGGATTCCTTCCAGGTATTCAGATTATGGCAATAAAGAAGTGATGGATTTTCTACCCCTGCCCTCAAGCTGATTTTCTATACCCATATGAATGATGAATGGAGTGAATGATTCCAGATCTATGCGGAAAACAAGCCACAGTTGCGACCCACATCAATCCAAACCACACGCCTCATTTAGATGAACTCCCCTGTTGGTGCCAGCTTGGTCTCTTCGTTATCATGCAGGATACTGAACCATGATATCCCACATTCATTTTACCACACCACAGCCTTTTTTAAAAAAAATGCCAAATTTCACATGAGGGATCTGTGGGGGTGCCGAGCCACTTTCCAAGAGACATCAGACCCATTCCTACAAGCAATTTTGCCCCCCCCCCAAAATTCACGTAGTTCTGGTGCAGCAGGTGTTTCAGGATTCACATACAGGTTACAACCCTGATTCTCCTCCCTTTTCTTTTTCTACACCAACAGCTTTTTGGGGGAAGAAGGAAAGATTCTCAGAGGAGAAGACAGGGGGCTTCAACACATCCTTGAAGTAGGAAATGTAACCGTGGGCTAGCTCTCCAGGGGACTTTGAACCATAGACAACTCTGGTTGCATTTGGCTTGCACAAAGGGTCCCCGTGGAGGGCACCGCACTCTCACCCCCCAAAATCACACTCACCTTCGGCGCCTTCAATTCTTTTCTTTCTTGAGGTCCTCAGGAAACGTACAAGGCGACCCTCCGAGCACCTCCCCTGGATGAGAAAAAGATGGAAAAGACTCACAGAACAAGCATTTCCAGTCTCCACTTGAACACCCAGGCACACAGCCTCTACACCTCCCAGGTGTCCCCCACCCCAAGCCAGGAGGGATAGCTAATACCTGCCTGATCTTCCTACTAGAACAGAGTGGGTCCCAGACAGGGAGGGACTGGCATGTCCATAGGAAGGAAGACACAGGAGGACAGAGACTGATTCCTGGGAGGCAGGATCGTACTCACAGACAGAGAGAGTGATCCATGGCTCCTTCTCCAACTGGGAGAAGGTAACAAGTGGGATTCCCCAAGGCTCAGTCCTGGGGCCCGGTGCTCTTCAACATTTTGATCCATGACTTGGATAAAGGCTACCGAGGACACTTACCAAATTTGCAGACGACTCAAAATTGGATGACACAGCTCATGCCCTGGAAGACAGAAACAAAAATTCAAAAAGACATTTATAAGCTGGAGCACTGGGTTGGAAATAAACTGGAAGACAGAAACAAAATTCAAAAAGACATTTATAGGCTGGAGCACTGGGTTGGAAATAAACAACAGAATGACATTTAACAGGGATAAGTGCAAAGTTCTGCGCCTGAGGGGGTGGGGAGCAAACACTTGTTAATTACAAGCACAATAAGAGCCAAGAGAGTGATGCGACTGCAAAAAAAGACAAATGCTATTTTTAGGATGCATCAACAGAACTCTAGTCTCCAAATCCCATGAAGTACTTTGTAGATGTTTAGTCATTTAGTTGTGTCCGACTCTTTGTGACCTCATGGACCAGAGCACGCCAGGCACTCCTGTCTTCCCTTG